GACCGATACAGCTTCCCCGTGGTACTGCCCAACTCGTCCAGAACTCAGAACCCGGTCAGAACCTCACACTAAACACCACAGAACCTGATCAGAACCTCACACTGTAAAACAAACCTCCAGGGGCCTGGTCCAAATGAAAACACTGTAAAAACTGTTCCACCTCTGTGTCGTTAATCCTCACACTTGTCATTAGCCAAACTTATGATTTTCCTCAGAAGCAGCTCAGACATTTTGTTTTTTTTGGCTCAGATGTTTAATTTTTTTTGGCTCAGACATTTTATTTTTTTTGGCTCAGACATTTTATTTTTTTCGGCTCAGATGTTTTATTTTTTTTTCAGCTCAGACATTTTATTTTTTTCAGCTCAGACGTTTTATTTTTTTCAGCTCAGACGTTTTATTTTTTTCAGCTCAGACGTTTTATTTTTTTCAGCTCAGACGTTTTATTTTTTTTCAGCTCAGACTTTTTATGTTTTTTTGGCTCAAATGTTTTTTTCGGTTCAGACTTGAGTTTGTGACTTGAGTTAAAGTCGGGTCTGTGGAGCGTCGCTTTAATCCTGCCCCAAACCTCCACTCTGTGTTTTACAGTGCACCTCCACACCTGACGCCCCGCCCTCCGAGCACCTGTCGCCCTCCGAGCACCTGTCGCCCTCCGAGCACCTGTCGCCTTCCGAGCACCTGTCGCCCTCTGAGCACCTGTCGCCCTCCGAGCACCTGTCGCCCTCTGAGCACCTGTCGCCCACCGAGCACCTGTCGCCTTCCGAGCACCTGTCGCCCTCCGAGCACCTGCCAGGCCCTGACACTTCCCCTGACCCCCCCGCCCCTGTCAGCCCCCCCACCCCCGTCACCCCCCCGTCACCCCCCCCGGCGCCCCCCCCGGCGCCCCCCCGGCGCCCCCCCGGCGTGCCCCTCAGAGGTCCCGGCGGGCGCCCGGGTCTGGGTCACTTCCGGCAGGACAGTGTGCGTTACGCGTCGCACCTGCCGGAGTTCCTGCGGCGGCGGGTGGACTGGGTGGACCGGCGGGCGGTGGAGGACGTGCACTGGCTCCTGGACCACTGGGGGGCGCCGCAGGACCTGGAGCTCACGGTGGCGCTGGAGCTGCTCGGACTCGACTTCATCGACCACCGAGTCCGAAAACTCGCCGTGGAACGACTCGACTGTTTAAGCAACGCTCAGGTCCTCAGGTACCTGCTCCAGCTCGTCCAGGTACCGGACCGGGACCAAGACCGGGACCAGGACTAAACCAGGACCGGACCAGGACTAAACGAGGACCAGACCAGGACCAGACCAGGACTAAACGAGGACCAGACCAAGACCAGGACCAGGACCAGGACCAGACCAGGACCAGGACTAAACCATGACCAGGACCAGGACCAGGACCAGGACCAGACCAGGACGAGACCAAGACCAGGACCAGGACCAGGACTAAACTATGACCAGGACCAGGACCAGACCAGGACGAGACCAAGACCAGGACCAGGACCAGACCAGGACCAGGACCAAGACCAGACCAGGACGAGACCAAGACCAGGACCAGGATGAGACCAGGACCGGACCAGACCAAGACCAGGACCAGGACCAGGACCAGGACCAGACCAGGACTAAGACCAGGACCAGACCAGGACCAGACCAGGACCAGACCAGGACAAAACCAGGACTAAACCAGGACTATAACAGGACTAAACCAAGACTAAACCAGAACTAGACCAGGACTAAACCAGGACTATAACAGGACTAGACCAGGACTAACCAGGACTAAAACCAGGACTAACAGGACTAGACAACAGGACTAGACCAGGACTAAACCAGGACTAACCAGGACTAAACAGGACTAGACCAGGACTAGACCAGGACTAGACCAGGACTAAACCAGGACTAGACCAGGACTAGACCAGGACTAGACCAGGACTAGACCAGGACTGTGACGGTTCAGTTCTTGTGTTTGTTCCAGACGTTGAAAGTCGAGCCGTATCACGACAGTTTCTTGGCTCGGTTCCTGATCCGACGAGCTCTGAGGGTCAGTCCACTCCACACTTTATTTTTAACAATCACAAACAAGTAAACAACAACTTTACACACAAATAAACAAGTAAACAACAACTTTACACACAAATAAACAAGTAAACAACAACTTTACACACAAATAAACAAGTAAACAAAACAATTACACACGAATAAACAAGTAAACAACAACTTTACACACAAATAAACAAGTAAACAACAACTTTACACACGAATAAACAAGTAAACAACAACTTTACACACAAATAAACAAGTAAACAACAACTTTACACACAAATAAACAAGTAAACAACACATTTACACACGAATAAACAAGTAAACCACAAATTTACACATGAATAAACAAGTAAACAACAACTTTACACACAAATAAACAAGTAAACAACAACTTTACACACAAGTAAACAACAAATTTACACACGAATAAACAAGTAAACAACTAATTTACACAAGAATAAACAAATAAACAACAACTTTACACAGAATAAACAAGTAAACAACAAATTTACACATGAATAAACAAGTAAACAACAAATTTACACATGAATAAACAAGTAAACAACAAATTTACACATGCATAAACAAGTAAACAACAAATTTACACATGAATAAACAAGTAAACAACAACTTTACACAGAATAAACAAGTAAACAACAAATTTACACATGAATAAACAAGTAAACAACAAAGGTACACACGAATAAACAAGTAAACAACAAATTTACACATGAATAAACAAGTAAACAACAAATTTACACACGAATAAACAAGTAAACAACAACTTTACACAGAATAAACAAGTAAACAACAACTTTACACACGAATAAACAAGTAAACAACAACTTTACACGAATAAACAAGTAAACAACAACTTTACACAAGAATAAACAAATAAACAACAACTTTACACGAGAATAAAGAAGTAAACAACAACTTTAGACGAAAATAAACAAGTCTTATATTAGTTTAATGCCATATTGCGGAACATTATAGGCAAAACAAGAGCATCTCCATGGCAACAGACTCTCAATCTGCACCTTTAACATGAAAAAAACACTCTGTTCCACCTTGTGATGTCATCATGTGGCGATACAGGCAGTGCTCCACTGTGTTTTTAAACTCCACACTTCACCTTCACTAGAATCACCTGGATCAGTTCAGTCCTGGAATGTCTTTGCCGAACTTGAATGAACTAAAGAGAAAAGGAGCTGAAACTACCACTTGATGACATCACCAGGTGGAGCTCTGGAGGTGTTTGTTCACTTGATGACATCACCAGGTGGAGCTCTGGAGGTGTTTGTTCACTTGATGACATCACCAGGTGGAGCTCTGGAGGTGTTTGTTCACTTGATGACATCACCAGGTGGAGCTCTGGAGGTGTCTGTGTTGATGATCCCTCGTCGTGTGTGTGGGTGTTTGTGTGCAGAGCAAGCGAATCGGGCACTTCCTGTTCTGGTACGTGCGCAGCGAGGTCCTGGGGTGTCCGTACTTCAGGCAGAGGATGGCGCTCGTCCTCGAGGCGTATCTGCTCGGCTGTGGGCGGGGCATGCTCCAGAGTCTGCGCCAACAGGTACACGGTCCAGACCCGGTCCAGACCCGGTCCAGACCCGGTCCAGACACAGTCCTGACACGGTCCAGACCCGGTCCAGACCGGTCCAGACCCGGTCCAGACACGGTTCAGACCCAGTATAGACCTGGTTTATACCCAGTCCAGACCTGGTCCAGACCCGGTTTAGACCCACTCCTGGTTTAGTCCTGGTTCAGTTCTGGTTCAGTTCTGATTCTGTGGTGTAATTCCAGGTTCAGGCAGTAGAGGCGCTGCAGACTGTGGCCATCGACATAAAGCAGCTGTTCCAGAAAAGAGACGTCGACCCCCAAGGTACGAAACAAAAACCTCACGACAAAAGAGAAACTCAACCTGTCCACAAAAGCACAAACCTTTATTTAAGTTTATTTTGGTTTATTTAAGTTTACTTTGGTTTATTACTGTAAATGTGTGTGTGTGTCTGTGTTAATCGTTTTTCCTCTGGTGTTGTTCTGAGCGTGGGAGGGCATCTGACTCTTTTGTGCTCCTCAGCTCCTCTTCGTCTCCGTGAGTTTCTCCAGAACAGCGACCTTCCTCCTGAGTTTGTTTTACCCTACGACCCCCGAGTCAAAGTGGGAAACCTGATCGTAAGAACCAGGACTAAACCAGGACTAAACCAGGACTAAACCAGGACTAAACCAGAACTAAACCAGGACTAAACCAGGTCTAAACCAGGACTAAACCAGGACTAAACCAGGACTAAACCAGGAGTAAACCAGGACTAAACCAGGACTAAACCAGGTCTAAACCAGGAGTAAACCAGGACTAAACCAGGACTAAACCAGATCTAAACCAGGACTGAACCAGGACTGAACCAGGACTAAACCAGGACAAAACCAGGACTAAACCAGGACTAAACCAGGTCTAAACCAGGACTGAACCAGGACTAAACCAGGTCTAAACGGGGTCTTTTTCAGCTGGAGAAGTGTAAGGTGATGGCGTCTAAAAAAAAGCCGCTGTGGTTGGAGTTTGAGCCGATGCCGTCGCCCACGACCTCTGACCCCGTGGGCATCATCTTCAAACACGGAGACGACCTGCGCCAGGACATGCTCGTCATCCAGGTGAGCCACAGCCCCTCCCCTCGTCCAGGTGAGCCGCGGCCCCTCCCCTCGTCCAGGTGAGCCACAGCCCCTCCCCTCGTCCAGGTGAGCCACAGCCCCTCCCCTCGTCCAGGTGAGCCACAGCCCCTCCCCTCGTCCAGGTGAGCCACAGTCCAGCCAACTACACAAGAGAAAAAAATAAAAAAATAAAAATAAAAACTGAAATAACCAAAATGCAACAGAAAGTGCAGGGGAGAGTGACACTGAGCTCTAAAATGTCTGTCTCTTCCTGTGAGCTCTAAAATGTCGCCTTCTCTTCTTGTGAGCTCTAAAATGTCACTGTCTGTTCCTGTGAGCTCTAAAATGTCACCGTCTCTTCCTGTGAGCTCTAAAATGTCACTGTCTCTTCCTGTGAGCTCTAAAATATCCACCGTTTCTTCCTGTGAGCTCTAAAATGTCTCCGTCTCCTCCTGCGAGCTCTAAGGTGTCCTCTGTCTCTTCCTGTGAGCTCTAAGGTGTCCTCTGTCTCCTCCTGCGAGCTCTAAGGTGTCCTCTGTCTCTTCCTGCGAGCTCTAAGGTGTCCTCTGTCTCCTCCTGCGAGCTCTAAGGTGTCCTCTGTCTCTTCCTGTGAGCTCTAAGGTGTCCTCTGTCTCCTCCTGCGAGCTCTAAGGTGTCCTCTGTCTCTTCCTGCGAGCTCTAAGGTGTCCTCTGTCTCTTCCTGTGAGCTCTAAGGTGTCCTCTGTCTCCTCCTGCGAGCTCTAAGGTGTCCTCTGTCTCTTCCTGCGAGCTCTAAGGTGTCCTCTGTCTCCTCCTGCGAGCTCTAAGGTGTCCTCTGTCTCTTCCTGCGAGCTCTAAGGTGTCCTCTGTCTCCTCCTGCGAGCTCTAAGGTGTCCTCTGTCTCTTCCTGCGAGCTCTAAGGTGTCCTCTGTCTCTTCCTGCGAGCTCTAAGGTGTCCTCTGTCTCCTCCTGCGAGCTCTAAGGTGTCTCTGTCTCCTGCGAGCTCTAAGTCTCTGCTCCTGCGAGCTCTAAGGTGTCCTCTGTCTCCTCCTGCGAGCTCTAAGGTGTCCTCTGTCTCTTCCTGCGAGCTCTAAGGTGTCCTCTGTCTCCTCCTGCGAGCTCTAAGGTGTCCTCTGTCTCTTCCTGCGAGCTCTAAGGTGTCCTCTGTCTCCTCCTGCGAGCTCTAAGGTGTCCTCTGTCTCTTCCTGCGAGCTCTAAGTGTCCTCTGTCTCCTCCTGCGAGCTCTAAGGTGTCCTCTGTCTCCTCCTGCGAGCTCTAAGGTGTCCTCTGTCTCCTCCTGCGAGCTCTAAGTGTCTGTCTCTTCCTGCGAGCTCTAAGGTGTCCTCTGTCTCTTCCTGCGAGCTCTAAGGTGTCCTCTGTCTCTTCCTGCGAGCTCTAAGGTGTCCTCTGTCTCCTCCTGCGAGCTCTAAGGTGTCCTCTGTCTCCGCAGACGTTTGTTCTGATGGACTCGATCTGGCAGGACAAGTCTCTGGACCTGAACCTGATCCCGTACGGCTGCATCGCCACCGGACACAACATCGGTAAAAAACACAGACGCCATGTTCCAAACAGGAAGTGACCACGGCTCCACGTCCGGCTCCACGAGCTCCGGCTCCGCTTCAGTTTCTCTGCGTCACGTTTCTGCCGGAGGCTCCGTCAGACGCTTTCCTGGTGGAGGGAGATGTTTTCGCTTTGTCTGGAATGTTCCGCAGTGCGGCATTAAACCTTTCTGTCTCCATGGAGACCAAACCAGACGCAGGTGCAGGTCAGATCTGTGGAGAGGCGACGCCGCTCACAGTCACCGTGTTGGTTTTTCTCTGCGTTTTTAACTGAATACATGTAAAGTCGAGCTGTTTAAAGTCACACCGCGGAACATTCCAGACAGAACAGTGACGTCTCCATAGAAACGAGCAGGTGACAGACGCCGAAGCAGAAAAGTTACACAGTGCAGCTTTAAAATGCCCGATCCACATGATCCTGGAGTTTTTAGTTCAACAGTTTGTCCAGAACTGAACCAGGACTAAACCAGGACTAAACCAGGACTAAACCTGGACTAAACAAGGACTAAACCAGGACTAAACCAGAACTAAACAAGGACTAAACCAGGACTAAACCAGGACTAAACCAGGACTAAACCTGGACTAAACCTGGACTAAACCAGGACTAAACCTGGACTAAACCTGGACTAAACAAGGACTAAACCAGGACTAAAGCAGAACTAAACAAGGACTAAACAAGGACTAAACAAGGACTAAACCGGGACTAAACCAGGACTAAACAAGGACTAAACAAGGACTAAACCAGGACTAAACCAGGACTAAACCAGAACTAGACTAAACCGAGCAGGTCCTGTTGTCTTTAAATCAGACCAATCAGGTGCCTTCTTTCCCCGAGGCCCCGCCCCCTGGCCTTAGCGACAGGTTTGATGGACAGGCTGTGTTGCTATGGTGACTGTGCGTTTGGGTTCAGGGATGATCGAGACGGTGCGAAACGCCGTGACCATCGCGGCGATTCAGAAGAGCCGCGGAGGAAGCGCCGGAGCGTTTAAGAACGACGCGCTGTTCGAGTGGCTCAAGTCCAAGTGCCCCCTGCAGGAGATCGTGAGTACTACACCTGACCTGCAGCGACAGGAGCTCCTCTCACCGTCTCCTCTGCTCTGTGATGTTCTCCTCTGCTCTGTGATGTTCTCCTCTGCTCTGTGATGTTCTCCTCTGCTCTGTGATGTTCTCCTCTGCTCTGTGATGTTCTCCTCTGCTCTGTGATGTTCTCCTCTGCTCTGTGATGTTCTGTGATGTTCTCCTCTGCTGTCTGTGATGTTCTCCTCTGCTCTGTGATGTTCTCCTCTGCTCTGTGATGTTCTCCTCTGCTCTGTGATGTTCTCCTCTGCTCTGTGATGTTCTCCTCTGGTCTGTGATGTTCTGTGATGTTCTCCTCTGGTCTGTGATGTTCTCGTCTGGTCTGTGATGTTCTGTGATGTTCTCCTCTGCTCTGTGATGTTCTCCTCTGGTCTGTGAGCGTCTCCTCTGCTCTGTGATGTTCTCCTCTGGTCTGTGATGTTCTCCTCTGGTCTGTGATGTTCTGTGATGTTCTCCTCTGGTCTGTGATGTTCTGTGATGTTCTCCTCTGGTCTGTGATGTTCTCGTCTGGTCTGTGATGTTCTGTGATGTTCTCCTCTGCTCTGTGATGTTCTCCTCTGGTCTGTGATGTTCTGTGATGTTCTCCTCTGGTCTGTGATTTTCTGTGATGTTCTCCTCTGGTCTGTGATGTTCTCGTCTGGTCTGTGATGTTCTGTGATGTTCTCCTCTGCTCTGTGATGTTCTCCTCTGCTCTGTGATGTTCTCCTCTGGTCTGTGATGTTCTGTGATGTTCTCCTCTGGTCTGTGATGTTCTGTGATGTTCTCGTCTGGTCCGTGTCCTTCAGCACTTCCAGACGGTGGACACCTTCGTGAAGTCGTGCGCTGGATACTGCGTCGCCACCTACGTCCTGGGCATCGGAGACCGTCACAACGACAACATCATGATCACAGACAAAGGTAAAGAACGTGTTCCTCAGATGGAGTTTGGCTCTTCCCGTATCACCACATGATGACATCACGACGTGGAGCAGAGTGTTGAACTCGTTTGTGAGTGAAACAAAACACGACTCCAGGGAACCACAGGAGTGGAGTACGGGACATTTACATCTTGTTTAAACGCAAAAATTCTGTTGTGTGCGGCGGCTTAAAGATTCATTGCGTAACTGGGGGGTTGGGGCGTGGCCTGGCGGGTTGGGGGGCGGGGCCTGGCGGGGCGGGGGGGGGGGGTATGGGGAGTTCCTTCTCCACAGATCTGAGCTGTCGTGTATCTCGGTGCTGCGATTCGCTCTGTACTGTGGAACATTCGAGACAAAGCAGTGACGTTTCCATGGAGACAAGCAGGTCCCTCCTCCAGAAATGTTACACAGTGCAGCTTTAAGAAAGTCAGAATGAAACGAGCAGATTAGAGATGAACAGTTCAGTTTGGGCCGGACGAGTCACAGGTTTAACCCGGACGCCCTGCAGTCGGGTCGCGGTTTAACCCGGACGCCCTGCAGTCGGGTCACAGGTTTAACCCGGACGCCCTGCAGTCGGGTCGCGGTTTAACCCGGACGCCCTGCAGTCGGGTCGTGGTTTAACCCGGAACCCGGACGCCCTGCAGTCGGGTCACAGGTTTCGGGTCGCGGTTTAACCCGGACGCCCTGCAGTCGGGTCGCGGTTTAACCCGGACGCCCTGCAGTCGGGTCGCGGTTTAACCCGGACGCCCTGCAGTCGGGTCGCGGTTTAACCCGGACGCCCTGCAGTCGGGTCGCGGTTTAACCCGGATGCCCCGGTGTGTTCGTAGGGAACCTGTTCCACATCGACTTCGGGCACATCCTGGGGAACTGGAAGCGGGTTCTGGGCGTGAGTCGGGAGCGAGTTCCCTTCGTCCTGACGCCCGACTTCCTGTACGTGATGGGACGAGTCAAACACAAGAACAGCCTGTACTTCGACCGCTTCAAGGTGAACCAGATGCCCTCCCACACCTCTGTGTGTGTGTGTGTGTCTGTGTGTGTGTGTGTGTGTGTGTGTGTATGTGTGTGTGTGTCTCTGTGTGTGTGTGTCTTGTGTGTGTGTGTGTGTGTGTGTCTGTGTGTGTCTTGTGTGTGTCTGTGTCTTGTGTGTGTGTGTCTGTGTGTGTGTGTGTGTCAGTGTGTGTATGTGTATGTGTGTGTGTGTGTGTGTATGTGTGTGTGTGTGTCTTGTGTGTGTGTGTGTGTGTGTATGTGTGTGTGTCTGTGTGTGTGTCTGTGTGTGTGTGTCTGTGTGTGTGTGTGTGTATGTGTCTGTGTGTGTGTGTGTCTGTGTGTGTCTGTGTGTGTGTCTGTGTGTGTGTGTGTGTGTGTGTGTGTCTTGTATGTGTGTGTGTCTGTGTGTGTGTGTGTGTGTGTGTGTGTGTGTCTGTGTGTGTGTGTGTGTGTGTGTGTGTGTGTGTGTGTCTTGTATGTGTGTGTGTCTGTGTGTGTGTGTGTCTGTGTGTGTGTGTGTGTGTGTATGTGTATGTGTGTGTATGTGTATGTGTGTGTGTGTCTCTGTGTGTGTGTGTGTGTCAGTGTGTGTATGTGTATGTGTGTGTGTGTCTCTGTGTGTGTGTGTGTCAGTGTGTGTATGTGTATGTGTGTGTGTGTCTCTTCTCTCGTGTGTTTAACCCAGATGCCCTCCCTCCCTCCCTCCCGTGTGTTTCTCTCTTCTCATTGGTCAGGAGATCTGTACAGGTGCGTACCTGTCCCTGCGCGCTCAGTCCCGCCTCCTCGTCACGCTCTTCTCCATCATGATGCTGACGGGGATGAGGGAGTTAAGCTCCG